CCGCCGCCCCATGTCGGCACACCCCTCACCCGCTTCGTGGCCCCATAGGGAACGCCACCGAATACGAGATTCACAGTTGCGGCACTCACAACTGCATATGGTCGGGTCATTCGCCAGGCTAATTGTCATGCTTCGCGGGTGCGGCCGTTACCGGCCTCGGCCGCCCCCACCCACAGGTAACGTCACGATCGCGCTGGACTCCCAGACGGCTCGGGAGGGTTCCAAGAAAGCTCCCAGAGAGCACCCCAGCAGTGGCACCCAAGGGGGCCCTGTGGGTGCCACTGTCAGAAGGCGCTCTTGAGGCGCTCTTTCTCTCGGGAGCCTTGTCGGAATCTTCTGAGGAGCCCAAGAGGAGCCCAAGAGCAGCTTGTTAGCCCTCTTGGAACCATCGTCGAGGCGTCTTGGAGCCCTCTCAAAGACCCCATCCGTGTCCAAAAGAAGCCCAAGAGCAGCCCAAGAGGGACCCAACAACACTCCAAGAGGACCCGAAGATGGCACCCTGACAGTGGCACCCACGAGACCCTCTTGGGTGCCAGTCGGGTGGCCTTTTGGGGGCCCCCCTGGTGTCCTCTTGGACCCCCTCTGGTCTACTCTCGAGGCCCCGTTGGGCTTCTCTCAGAGCCCTGGTGTGACCGAGAAATTTTCTCAGCCGCCCGTCGGACGGCTAAAATCAACTGCGCGCAGCTGATCTCATAACTGGATATCGTTTAAACGACCCTTATCCCCACTGCACGGTGGAATGTATGCCGTACCCCTCGGGCTTCAGGGGGTAAATCTTTACCTCAGCGGCGGAGGGAAGGGTAGGTTGGTAGGAGGCTCGGCTCAATGGGGGTTGAGGTCATTTAGCCGAATAACCTCCGCCGCTTCCCCTACTCTCCACCCACCACCCCCGACGTCGCGACTTTTTCCCAACGGCGGCCCTGGATGTGTGAACCTCTTCCCCGGCATCAGCTCTATCCGGCTTTATTATCCTGAGCTGCGCGTTCGCTCCAGAAGACCAATGAGGGATTGTGGAGCCTCAGAACGGCCGAAAACGTTCCGTCGTCGTCGTCGCCCGTGGGGAGGGCTTCATGAATCCAAGTCCCAGGAGCCCTTTTCGGACCCTGAATGGTGGGAATGTCTTGGAGGCTGCTTGCGGCGTTCCGTCGTCGTCGTCGCCCGTGATAAGGGCCTGATGAATCATGCTCCCGGCAAGCCTTCTGGGGACATGATTTTTGGAAATGTCTTGGGGGGCCTGCTTGGGGTGTTCCGTCGTTGTCGTCGCCCCTTGGGGAGGCCTTTCGACGGCGCAAGGAATGATGTACCCGGAAGGCTTGTTGGCAGAATGAATGTTGGAAGTGCCTTGGTGGACTACGTGGGGCGTTCCGCCTTCATCATAGCCTCTTGGGCGCCATGTTGGGACCTGATGAATCATGTTCCTGGCAGGTCTTCTAGGAACATGATTTGGGGCGTCCTCCAATCTTGGAGGGCTGCACTGGCGTCGGCCATGCCTGGGGCCTGATGAATCATGTTCCAACAAGGACTTCTGGGAGCATGATCTTTGGGAATGTCTTTGGGGGCTGCTTGGGCCGGTCCGTCGTCGTCGTCGCCTCTTGCGGAGCCATGTTGGGAGCCCGATGAATCATGTTCCCGCAAGGACTGTTGGGAACTTGATTTGTGGGAGTCGTTCCGTCGTCGTGGTCGGCCACCGATTATCGCGTATCTTAACAAAAACTGGGCGATAAACCTGTGAGAGACCGAAGAGGACGAGGAGGAGCAGGCAACGAGGGGAAGAAGAAGAGCAGGAAAATGGTGCAGTCAGTTGATGTTACAAATATCGTCATCCGATGGACCCCCTCCTGGTCCCTCCGGGGCCTCCCCCTGGCCGCTCAAATCATCCATGGGCCTTCGGCCAGAGCCTCTTGGAAGCAATTTCGAAGCCTCTCGAGGCCGGTTTTGTCAGCCTCTGGGGACCCCTTGATAGCCTCTTGGGGCTTCTTGGGAGTCTCTTGGGGCTCCCTGGGAATTGATTATTCGGGCGGAATCCCGGAATTTTCGGTTCGTTGTCCCCCTCCTGGGCCCCTCTTGGGGCTGCTTTGGGGCTCTCTTGGGCCCTCTTAAGCGCCTCTTGGGCCATCTTGGCGCCCCCTTGGGCCGTCTTAGGGGCCTCTTGGGAGGCTCTGGGGCCGTCTTGGGGCTACTTTGGGGACCTAGTGGGCCGCGCCTGGACCAGGGGGCAGCTCGCCGCGGCGGCAAACCGCGGCAGCGGGAGGGGAAAGGGCCACCCTCCTGTGCCGAGGGCGGCGGTCCAGGTGGGAGAAGCAGGTCTGAACTACGAGTTTTGAACATCGAGCGCTAATGTGCGTCTCAGCACGAGGAAGCGCCGCTCAGCTCAAAAGCGGTGAAGTGAAGGGCGTGGGGGGGGGGACGAGGGAGCGCAGCTGGTCGCGCGCCTGAAGTTGCCCCGCCAGGGAGGAGGATCAGGAGGGACCGGGAACGCACCCTACGCAAGGCTGTCCCAGCTAGGCTCCGCGCTAGAGACTCATTCGACGATGCGTGCAGCCTTCAGGAATGGTCGCTTCTTGGCTGTGGTCGTCCTCGCCCAACAAGCCTCCGACAGAGAACCCGGCTTGGTTCAAATGCTTCGCGTAGACGTTGAGGTAGCGGATCCCCTCCAGCGTACGTCCGTGCACGACCTTGACGTCCACCCTCCCAAACTGCACCCATTTGGGATCCTCCGTGACGGCCTCTGCTGCGCGGTACTGGAGACCGCCAGCCTGCTTCTCGTCCGCCCACTTTCCCGTCAAGTTCAGCTCCTGGAAATATATGTCCGCGCACCACTCGCCGAGCCTCTGTGCCTCCGCCTCCACGCGCAGCAGGGAGACCGCGGTGCGCGCGCCCCTCGGGATCTGGACCAAGAGGTGCGTGCCAGCCTGCATGATTTCGAAACGCTCGCCGAAGATGTTCTGCAGATGCGGGTCGCCGGTGCCCGCGACGGCGCCCATGCTGGCCCCAATGATGACGGGAACCGGCGTGGGAGCAGTGGTAACGCCCGCAGTCGAAGCCGCTGCGCCCACGGAAGGAGCCGTCAGCGTAGGGGCCACAGTGATGACCGGCTCAGTACTCCAGTCAGAAGCAGCCATAGCTTCGTTCGTCTCGGCCTCAATGGCGTCAGCATTTGCAGCGATCGCGGCGGTGAGGGACGCGGCGCTCTTGCTGCCGACGATCTCCACCGTGAAACTCGTGGTCACGGTGACGTGCGAGTCCCGCAATAGCTGGCGGACAGCAGAGGGGCGCTGATCGGGATGGGTCGTGATGACGAAGCCCGTGATCTCAACGTCGGAGACGGACACGTTCAGAGCATTAGCCAGACCGGTCTTCTTGGCGGACACGTAAGTCGTGGAACTCATGAGGTCCTCCGCAGTCACGCCGTCTGGAAGAGATTCCTCCGCGGAGTATTCGCCAGCAATTCTTGCGTGATTGGACAGGTAACTGCCAGTTTCATTCGAGCAAGAGAGACCGAATGCCCGATAGTAGAGCCAAGTCGAGGAATCTGTACTGCAACCACACAAGCCGCCGTGCCAGCAACCATTGCAGCCGTCACATGTAGAATTTGCAAGATCGAAGTAGCCACAGCCATCGTCGCAGCTGCAGCATCCAGCAGCTTTGCGCGCTGCTGTGCAATCCCAACAATTGCAACCACAAGGTGGTTTCGAGCAGCCGCAAGCTTTCTGAGTTTCTGATAGCGTCGGGCTTGGCGTGGGGCTTGGCGTCGGGCTTGGCGTCGGACTCGGGGTCGGAGACAACGTGACGCCGGGTGGCAACGGTGTCGGGCTTGGCGTCGGGCTCGGCGTCGGGCTTGAGGTCGGTGGCACTGCATGGTAGGACAGGTAGCTGCCTGCATCACTCGAGCACGTGAGACCGAACACATCATAGAAGGGCCAAGTTACCGAATCTGTACTGCAACCACATTTGCCCTTGTACCAACAGCCCATGCAACCGTCGCACAAAGTCATCGTATCGCCATAACCGCAACTCCCCCCATCTTCGCAATTGCAACATCCAGCAGCTTGACGCTCTTCTGTGCAATCCCAACAGTTACATCCGCAGGGGGGGCTGGAGCAACTACACAAACCTGATGCATGCACGTCCCCGAGAGGAGGGTAGGTGGGCGCAGACGTCGGAGTCCGTGTGGGACTTGCTGTCGGGCTTGCCGTCGGGCTCGGCGTTGGATACTGCGTCGGAGACGGCGTCGGGCTTGCTGTCGGGCTTGTCGTCGGAGATGGCGTCGGGCTTGGCGTCGGGCTCGGCGTCGGGCTCGGCGTCGGGCTTGGCGTTGGATACTGCGTCGGAGACGGCGTTGGGCTTGCCGTGGGGCTTGGCGTCGGAAACCGCGTCGGGTTTGGCGTCGGGTGTGCAGTCGGACTGTGCGTCGGGTTTGGCGTCGGGTGTGCCGTAGGACTACGCGTCGGGTTTGGCGTCGGGTGTGCCGTCGGGCTGTGCGTCGGGTTCGGCGTGGGATGCGCCGTCGGGCTGTGCGTCGGGTTCGGCGTGGGATGCAACGTCGAGGCTGGCGTCGGGCTTGGCGGGCACTGCGCAGTACCGACCTCATTGGCGACGAGGGACGCGGTCCCCGATCTGTACAACCTTAAATCTGCCGCGGAATAGGAACGCGTGGGCGATACTGATGTCGTCTGTCCCGAAGCAGCGGCCAAAATGTCAGACGGGGACAACTCGGACGGCCACAACGCCAAAGAATGGATCTTTCCAGGCAAATTCTCTGAGAGCGAGAATCGGGCGAACACAGTTATATCGTCGCCGAAAGTTCTGTCTGACGATACGTACAGGTGAATCCACGGGGCGTAGGTGGTCGTGGCACTGTTGACACTCGCAACCAAGGTACTAGTAGTAGCGGCAACTCCATTGACATATATTGTATCTCTCCAATAACTGCCCTTGTGAATACGCGCGCTACCAGATCCAGATGACCAATCGAGAAACGAGAAATGTCCATTACCCAATCATGTACGTGCGTCAAATATGTACTCCCAGTGATAGCCTCCATCCTTGTACGGCGCCAGCCACATTGACACAGCTCGAATGTTGCTACTGTACGGCAATTGAACATACCCGAATGTATTTGAAGGGATCTCGATGTACTGGCAACGAGTCGGTGACGTGCCCCCACCACAACCGCAACATGCTGTCGAACCATCATATCCATCGTTCGCCCAATCTGCAAATGTGCCCCATGTAGACTTCCATCCCGATGCATAGCCTCCAGACGTGGTGCAAACATTGGCCGTGTTATACCAGGAGCAAGGTGTACCATCCTTACTCGCCCACCCTGGAACGTCCTCGCAGGTCGCCATCGGTTGTGGCGTCGGGCTTGGCGTCGGATTTCGAGTCGGGTCTGGTGTCGGGCTTGACGTCGGATACCGCGTCGGGTCCGGCGTCGGGCTTGGCGTCGGATGCAGCGTCGGCTCTGGCGTCGGGCTTGGCGTCGGAACATGCGTGGCGCCGGGTGGCAGTGGCGTTGGGCTTGGCGTCGGTTCTGGCGTCGGGCTTGGCGTCGGATATGGTGTCGGATATGGCGTCGGGTATGGTGTTGGATACGGCGTCGGACTTGGCGTCGGATATGGCGTAGGATATGGGGTTGGGCTTGGCGTCGGATACGGCGTCGGATTTGGCGTCGGCGACGGCGTGTAGGCCGAGCACACGTAACCAAGCAGTATGTGGCCGTCGTTGCAAGTCTCACACTGGTCTCTCACCACTCGGTCCTGCGGCGTGACACAAGTCTTGCATGCCGCTCCGCTCCCAGTCTCGCAAGTCAGCCTCTGATGCCGGTAGGTCACGAACTGCGCAGACCCCTCGCTGGCCCTGGTTCCAACCGCTGCGTAGCAAGCCCCGGAAGACATCGCATTCGGCGGCATACAGGCGCAAATGGTCCCCGGGCTGCCAGAGCCATCGTTCGGCGAATCGGAATACAAATACTCGCAATAGTTCCCGGCCGCCTCCCACTGCGTCACCCGGGCGAAACACTGGGCGAGGCTCAGCGCACCCCAGGAGGCTCCCGCCATCGCCCGGCCCACATTGCAGGCGAACTTCTGAGCCATGTTGGAGAGGCCCGTGACCCAGGCAGGCTCCGATCCGAAATCGTCGCAAGTAAAACAGAAGTTCTTCGTGACGGAGATGGCGATCCTAGCTTTGAGGTCAGCGGCACTCCTGTTCATGCTGGACCGCTCGAGCGAGCCGTTGCGAGCCCCCTCCAGGATCGGCTTGGGGTCTGGGAACTTGCTCTTGACGTCTTCGCCGAAGCTGGGGTCGGACGTAGCCCCAGAGAGGAGGCGCAGCGCCGGCAGCAGCGATGTCTTGTTGAACTCCCCCTCCGACAGGCGAGGGGGAGGGGCTGGTTGGGGCCAGAGTTGGATCTTGAACTTATAGCCAAACTCGAGCTTCGGCTGTGGATAGAGGGGCAGAGAAACCGACCCCTCGAAAATATCGAACCCCAAAATGCCAGTCAGAGACGACTCCCAGTACGACCACTCCGTGCTGGAGGGCCCCGACGTACATTTGATACTGAAGAACGCAGAGGCTTTGGCTGCCACTTGTACGGCGCACCGAAGATGGAAATTTTGCCCGTAGCAAAACCGACAATCTTGGCCGCGAATCTTCCATTGAGGCATCCAGCCTGAGCCTTGATTCCAAGAACTGCATATCCGTACGCGAGTTCGACGCCCAATGTGATGGTAAAGTCGCCTTCGTCACAGAACACTGCTTCCAGCCTCGTCTGAAGATTAGTAAGGAGGTTGTCACCTACAACGATGAGGTCATCGAGCATCCGTCCTGAAGCTATGTACCTGAACACGCCAATAACTCCTTTGGCCGCAGTTTGGACAAAGCTTGGCGCACACCACGAGCCTCCTGTCCAATCAACTTTCAGGAAAGGAGTGGGGATGCCGAAACTAAGCCCCGGGAGGCTTGTAGTCTTCGTGAGGCAATTGGTGAATTTCGCCACGGTATCCGCGAAACGTTGGGCCATCCCGAAAACATCAAGCACGTCCCAAATAGTCATACTGCTGACGAAATCGAAGGCACCACAGTCTGTGAATTCGGCGGTGGGGGCTGAGTTCCAACAGAAGTCGATGTTCACAGCCGCAGCTTCTGAGTAGATCCCGTTCACGACCCTCTCGCCGAAATTCCACAAAGCCTCGAAAACTGCAGTAGCAATTATCGCTTCGGGGGGGAATAGAGCGGCCCTGATGCCGTCGGCGATGTTCGGCAGACACCGAAGATTCGCCATGACCATGTTCTCGAGTATATCCAAGAGTATCGAGAATCCGCACTCGAAGAACGAGAGAGCGTTGCTCACCCCCTCCGAAATGCAATCCCAAACGCCAGAACAACTTGTGGGGATGAGATCGAAGCCGCACATGTCACCAACCGCGTCGTTGACGGCGTTCACGACAGCTGACAGACATTCTCCGAAGCTCATGAGCACATTCACGACAGTGTCGACCACGCACTCGTACACGTACTCCACCGCTTCGGTGAAACACGACCACACGCAGTTGGTGACACAGCTCACAGTGCACACGACCACATCGACGACCGTCTCTACCACAGTCTCGACGACGCTCCACCAACGACGCCGACGCCTCCCGCCCCAGAACTCAAGCTCTTGAGACGTTCGCGCAACGGAGCCCGAATCTCCAGAAACCCGCGCAACAACGCTCGAATTCGTATGCGCCAATCTCGGGCAACTGGTACAAGCGTTATTGCAAGAGTTCCCGCAATTATCTACCCATTGTGTTTCCGAGCAGGTACTGGGAAGTGAGAAGATACTCTCGAAGGTACACGAAGGCCCACGCAACGCCTTCGGGGGAGCAGCTCGCTGTGCCAGCTGAGGAGTTGTGGCGAGCCACTCGTCGAGGGTCAAGAACGCACTGCCATGGGCGCTGTGCTTCTCCACAAACTCTTGCACCGAAGCCCTGGGAAGTAACACTTGGTCAAAAGGGGTGCTGAGTGTGCCGTTGGCGGCTTCGATCGCGACGAGGTCCTGTCCGATCAGGGCGCCCACTAGCTCGTCCACGTCCAGGGTTGAAGACTGATCTTTGTCGAGCTCGCCAAACTTCTTTTCGAGAAAGAGCAGCTGCTCGTCTGAAGACAGATTTTTCCATGCATGCGTCACCGTAAGCGACCCCTTGGTGACCACGTACTCATGGGAGTGACAGGGAGTCGTCTCATGCGATGGGAACCCTGGACCGCAGTGCCCACACTCGTCGACGTAAGCAGCATCGGAGCAGAATTGGCACTGGCTGCAGCTGTCGCACGCACCATCATAGCAAAATTCCGAAGACTGGCAATCCGAATGATCTTGGCAATGCACCAGGTCCGGCTCTGGTTCGGGCCCCTCGCTGCAAGTGGCACAGCACAATGCAAGAACTTGGCTCGACAAGTTCGCGTCTGCACAGTACGGACCGACATCCGAACAACCACTGACATCAGACACACGCGCATGATCTTTTGCAAGTTGGACGGCGCCAGAATCGTTGTCAACACAATCAGTCGATCCATGCGCTGACACGTCGAAGCCCTGCTCGTAGACGCGAGTCTGGATCAACTGCACGTCGGACGCCACGTTATCGGCCAGACTCTCCCAACCGCGAGTTGGCAGAAGGAGACGGAGGATCACGAGAAAGGGAAGCTTGATGGCCGCCATGGGCACTAAAGACATATGAAGACAGAATGTGTAATTGTTTTGTCGCGAGACAATAACTACGTGTAGGCTATGCTTGAGGATGCTGCTGCAGTCCGGAAACCAGCTGTATCCACTGTGGCTTGAGCCAAGGGGGTTACGGACGCTGGTGGGGAGACTTTTTCCCCAACCCTCCTTGGTTGGGTATTCGTCTGGAATAAAGCACTGCGGTCTCCAGTCCTCCTCCTCCTGCCTCTCGCCTCTCGCTTTCCTCTTGTCTCCTCTTGTCGTGTGCGTACTTCGTGTGTGTGTGTGTGGGTGCATCCTGGCTGCGGTACCTCTTGTGCGTGCATCTTGCCAAGGGGCTGAGATCTGTGACACTGTCGCCACTTTCGAGATCTGCTGGTGGCTCCTGCGGAGTGAGGCACCGCGGAGACCTGAGCGAGACCTCGCCGTCCTTGGGGGGGCTGCGATCTGCGACATTGTCGCCACTTTCGAGGGCTGCTGCCGGGTCCAGCGGACTGAGGCACCGCGGGGACCTGAGCGAGACCTCGCCGTCCCTGGGGGGGGCTACGATCTGCGACATGGTCGCCATTTTCGAAAGCTGCTGGTGGGTCATGCAGAGTGAGGCACCGCGGGGACCTGAGCGAGACCTCGCCGTCCCTGGGGGGGCTGCGATCTGCGACGCTGTCGCCACTTTCGAGGGCTGCTGACGGGTCCAGCGGACTGAAGCACCGCGGGGACCTGAGCGAAACCTCGCCGTCCCTGGGGGGGCTGCGATCTGCGACACTGTCGCCACTTTCGAAGGCTGCTGGTGGGTCCAGCGGAGTGAGGCACCCCGGGGACCTGAACGAGACCTCGCCGTCCCTGGGGGGCTGCGATCTGCGACACCGTCGCCACTTTCGAAGGCTGCTGGTGGGTCCAGCGGACTGAGGCACCGCGGGGACCTGAGCGAGACCTCGCCGTCCCTGGGGGGCTGCGATCTGTCACACTGTCGCCACTTTCATGGGCTGCTGGTGGGTCCTGCGGAGTGCGGCACCGCGGGAACCTAAGCGAAACCTCGCCGTCCCTGGAGGGCTGCGATCTGCGACACTGTCGCCATGTTCGACGGCTGCTGCCGGGTCCAGCGGACTGAAGCACCGCGGGGACCTGAGCGAGACATCGCCGTCCCTGGGGGCTGCGATCTGCGACAATGTCGCCACTTTCGAGGGCTGCTTTTGGGTCCAGCGGAATGAAGCACCGCGGGGACCTGAGCGAAACTTCGCCGTCCCTGGGGGGGCTGCGATCTGCGACGCTGTTGCCGAGTGAGGCACCGCGGGGACCTGAACGAGACCTCGCCGTCCTTGGGGGGGCTGCGATCTGCGACACCATCGCCATTTTCGAAGGCTGCTGCCGGGTCCAGCGGACTGAGGCACCGCGGGGACCTGAGCGAGACCTCGCCGTGCCTGGGGGGCTGCGATCTGCGACGCTGTCGCCGCTTTCGAAGGCTGCTGCCGGGTCCAGCGGACTGAGGCACTGCGGGGACCTGAACGAGACCTCGCCGTCCCTGGGGGGCTGCGATCTCTCATGGGCTGCTGGTGGGTCCTGCGGAGTGAGGCACCGAGGGGGATTGAGCGAGACCTCGCCGTCCCTGGCGGGGGAGGGGGCTGCGATCTGCGACACCGTCGCCACTTTCGAGGGCTGCTGCTGGGTCCTGCGGAATGAGGCACCGCGGGGACCTGAGCGAGACCTCGCCGTCCCTGAGGTGCTGCGATCTGCGACATTGTCGCCACTTTCGAGGGCTGCTGCCGGGTCCAGCGGACTGAGGCACCGCGGGGACCTGAGCGAGACCTCGCCGTCCCTGGGGGGCTGCGATCTGCGACGCTGTCGCAGGGTTCCGAGGGCTGCTGCCGGGTCCAGCGGAGCGAGGCACCGCGGGGACCTGAGCGAGACCACGCCGTCCCCGGGGGGCTCTGGAGAGCTGCTGTGGGATAGTTTAGGCGCGACGGGCGCATGGCACAGCCAACGGGGGTGATTTGTGAAACAGACCATATGCCGGGCGATGGCCATAACGTTGCGCCCACACGTATCCCGCGGGGGCTCTCAAGAGCTGCTGCGGGATACGTTGGGTGCAACGGGCGCGGGGCACAGCCAAGGGGGGCGATTTGTTATTACGTACCCCTTATATATTGATCGGGGGCCTGCTCGCAAAATCACATGCGTCCATATTACGTCATCGCCCCCGCTGTAGCAATCCTGATGTACTCATGCCCCGCATTGCGCAAGGGTTGGGCACGTCGCCAAGGCAATTTGATCGCGAGCGCGCCGGAGGAACCGGACGCCGTCAAAAGTCGCAGCAACGGGCTACGAGCGAATTGCGCTTCAGGGGGGGGGGCAGGCGAC